CATCCTACCAATTAAGCATCAGGGGCAACCTCCTCATTTGTATCGCTTTACACCTGTAATCAGTAATTTAGTAATGATGTGCTGAGTCTCTGCTGCAGGCTCAATAACCGGTTAGAGGGTGAAAGTGGGTGGTGGTGGAGTGTTTGTCTACTTCATTCGCTGAAAATGTGTAAGGTGTAATCTTCAGCCTTTGTATTAAGCCTTTTCTTCTGCCTATTTTAAAGAAAACAAACTTAGCAGCTTTAAATCGAAAAGCAAAAATATAATGTGCACGATGTTCTAAATATCCCGATTCTCACTATTAAATAAAAACATAGTTACACAGCCAGATTATTCAGCTACTCTGACATTCACCATAATATTCATTATGTTTCAAGCTACAGGCCTTTTTCATCAAGCATATTATAAAGGCTAGAGGGAATGTCAAAATGAAAGGTGCACTACAGTGAATGAGCATGCATACATAATCATGTTTAACACCATTAACTTGCATAAAAGAAGTGAACATATTTCACTTAGAATCTTCTGTGTCTCTGGTGGTGAACATTTTAAGCTGCAGCTGATGTCTTGTCTGTCTGTGGTTTGGAAGGTTTATCTTCAACTGCCATCTAGTGGATCAGATGGACCATTGGATGGCGTCCGTGAATCAAAGAAAGGCTGAAATATCTAGGTGTTTTGCAGTAAGGTACTTCTCAGTGCCTCTTGTAGTGTACCGTATGTTGAAATGTAAAAAAGAATATTTCTTTAATATTATATTTTGTTTTGTGTTCCATATTTGCCTTTTAAGCCCATGTTTGTTGACGTGGTTGTAGTGGTAAATGTCCCCTTTGTTAACATACAGTATGTTTTAGGTGAATTTTGAATTAGAAAGATAAATCATGATCTAATCAGCCAGTAGCGCTATAGCAAAGAATATAATAAAGCATCAGCCACATCCTCAGGCAGGCTAATTCTGCCCTTTTGATCTTCAATGAATATTTACTACTATAGGGTGCTACTACTGTGCACTGTTAGCAAGGAAAATAAGAGGTGAAGTAAGAGGTGAGCATTCATTACTTTCTGCTGCATTGTTAATTCAAAGGAACCCCAGAGGTGTCACAATGGAACCACGCTTGAAAATGGCTATGAGAAACTATCCTGCCCTGCAGAGCAGAGCATATGGTCTCGTTTTTGCAGTCTCTTAGAAGGATTGACGCCTTTAGCAGTGATACATATCAAACAGAAGCAGCTTCCCAAAGACAATAGATTCTTGGGCCCCTTCTGTCAATAACTTCTGTTTGGCCAAAACCAATCTTGACATGGTTCCGTCATTTTCTGACAGCTTGGGTGCCACAAATTCAACCAATAACAAGTGGAGGTATTGCTTGGCTGTGAGCTTGGGAGCTCGACAAACCAGAATTATGTCAGTCTGTGCGTGACTCTGGTTATACACTGAAGAGTTAAGACAGATATTTAGGTTTTCCTCTGTCTGTGTTCCATCTGTCTTTACTGGCTCATCCTGCATTAGCTGCTGGACCACCTTCACAGGGTTGAACAGTACTGTGGTATAGCACTGACAATTCAGAGTAAGAGGGCTCTCCATCTAAATTCCAGCAGAAGCCTTTCTGTGTAGAGTCTGTATGTTCTCCCCATGCACACGTGTGGGAATGGTTGTTTGTCTCGGTGCCAGCTCTGTGATGAACTGGAAATCATCTCAGTGGAAACTGAGAGAGGCTCAGCCTCATCATGACCCTGTAACTTACCTTGGATGTAAGTCTACTGGCTGAGAGTTAAGGATTTATTGCATTGATAAAAAAATTTAAGAACAACGTTACACGGTAAGGGTGAATTATTTTATTTTTCTCCAACCAAAAAAACTTTAAAAAAATGTCTTGTTATCTACCTTGAGGCGACATTTTCAGAGAAGTGTTTTTCCTCATGTTGGCATATGTCTTCAGTCATTTAGGTAATGATAATGATTGGATCTTGAATCTTGATCTTTTTCTCATGGTCAATTGATAAATGTCCTTTGACTAAAGGACATTTGTTGTGTATAGAAAATTCATGGGTCGTATGAACATTTGTAAAACTCCTCTCTTTTTCACAAAATTTTGAGTAATTTTCTATGTAGTATAATATATTTTTAATTAATTTCTATTTGACTGTTCTGCAGAGGCAATCTGTTACTTCTCCTGGTTCCTGGTTCAGACCATGCAGTAGAGTGTTAACTTAATGTTAAAATACATCCTTTTAATCAAACAAAAATTGTTTTACGATCATCATTGCTACTGCTCTTGAGATGTTAAAGACAGCACACACAAGCATATCAACACTGACACTAATCATAATTTGGTTCACGGATGAAGAAACTGAATGCAATGAATAATTTAGATAATTGACTGACAACCCAAGTAAGCAATTATCTAAAACTCCAGTAGATAGATAGATAGATAGATAGATAGATAGATAGATAGATAGATAGATAGATAGATAGATAGATAGATAGATAGATAGATAGATAGATAGATAGATAGATAGATAGATAGATAGATAGATAGATAGATAGATAGATAGATAGATAGATAGATAGATAGATAGATAGATAGATAGA